CGGTAAAAAGTGAAGGTTGCCAGTTGAAAGTGAAAATGAGAACACACTTCCCTTTTTCGCCCTCCATCTCCTTTTTTCGAATCGTTCGGTTCGTTCCCAATTCCTCTCTCCGTTCCTTACATCTGCGTCTCCACATGGCGCAATACTATTTCCCTCCGCCCGTGCACATGCATCCTCTTCGGACAACGTTCTTTCGGCTGTTGGTGTCCTTGTTCAGAATTGAATGACAGAAAAAAAAGTGTGAACGAACAGATCAGCACCAGGCACCTCACAGAGTGAAAGAGATGCACTTTTTCGGTGAAAGTATCATTTAAATTCCAATGACTACTGACGGAGAGAGAGAGAGACATGTACTTTTGGAGGCTGTTTGAAGGAAGAAGAATAAGGAGGAGGAGGAGATTGAAAAAACGGAGAAAGAGGAGAAGAATGATATGAAAGGGAGACGTCTGGTGCCACCCGGTGGGGGAGCAGGCGGAAGGCGAAGAAAGAAGGAGAAGCATAAATTGGTGTGCACTTCTGAAAGTGCAAGCAACGAAATGTTTAGAGAGAGAGAGATATTTTATCAGGAGAAGAGATGGAGATGTGAAATGCCAATTGATAAGGGGCGCCCGCGCCAGACAGCTTCGCAACATAATGGAAAAGAAGGAGAAGAACCGGAATGTATGGGAAGAGAAAGGGAACGTTAGGGTTAGAGAACACTTCAGAGAGACTGGGGGGCGAATCTAGAGAGGATAGAAGTTATGAATTCAGAAGATCATTTTTTGGAGGATCTCCTGAAACATCAGAAACACCTTAATAAAAATTTTTGTGTTCTTGTCATAATTTTGTTTAAAGAGGAAATTTTAGAGCGCCCCCTAACTTTCAACTTTGATCTCTTGTATCTCGGTTTCCGGAGCATATATCAAAAAGTGATCGACTGACAAAATATTTTTGACATTACGATAAATGTTTTATCAGTTGACTATTTGTTGATACAGTTCACAGCAAATGAGATATATGGGCTCAAAATTGACGGGGGTGGGACGTTTTATTAGTCTGACCGAAAATGTTTTAACCGAAAATAAATTTTAACCGCTTTTAAAATTAGAATTTTAGATAGAAAATGAAAGAACTAAAACTTCAAAAACTGTATAAAACTCCTCTGAACCAGTATTTTATGATTAAAAAAGACATCATAGAGCCTGTTGGTCCAGCCTATTTATTCTAATAAAAACCTGCCCAGTCTGTCAACTTTGAGCTCAATTATCTTGACTTCTGTAAAAGGTATAAAAATTGTGCTAACTTATAAAATATTGGTGATATAATGATAAATAATTTGCCAGTCGACAACTTTTTGATACCTTTCATAGGAATTGAGATAATTGAGCTCAAAGTTGACAGTTTGTTTGTGCTTCTATTCAAGGAAGTACGGTGCTATAACAATTTTACAAAATACAAATTTCACAATTTCTGCCTTCCCAATTTTCTTTTTCAAACTTTCAACCCATAAAACCCAAATGTCTCTGTATCAATTATCAACCTATCAGATTGACATTATCAAAACTGACAGGTTTCGATTTCAAACCGGAAGTCCTCTCTTTTTTGTGACTCAATTTCCTCCTGTAAAAAGTGTTTTCAGCCACTATCACTTAAAACTTTTGATTTCGCGAGTTTCAGACTGAGTTTAATCTCTGAAAAGTTCATTCAGAAACAAATCCTCTAGACATGTGTAGACATTTTTCCGGTGCTAATCTGTGCTGCTGATAATAGCAGAGAGATAAAAAAGGGATTATTCGTGTTTTGCGCACAGAGTTGCGTTTGGATTTTGAGACGGAAGAGGGGGTCAGGATCTGGAAAGTTCTAGAAAAATATTTGAAGAAAGAGTATAAATCTAAAAATGCCTTCATTTCAGGAACCACAAGAAATAAGAAATGTTAAACCAGTAATACAAGGGAGCTCATTTGTCTCGGTTCCTGTAAGAGGTATCAAAAAATTTTAACTAATAAAATGTTTGTGATATCATGATTAATAATTTATTAGTTGACCACTTTTTGATACCTTCCGAATGAACCGAGATAGTTGAGCTGAAACCAAGACCAGTTTCCCAACTCATCCATCCATCCATTTCGTCAAGAATTAAAAAAAAACCATTATCTGTCTTTCAATTTCCAACACATTTCCAATATTTCATTCAAAGCGTACATTTTCACTTTCTCAAAAACGTACTGGGCTCATAAATCTTCGTCTCTCCCTATCTCTCTTGTTCTTCCGTAAAACCACCGTATTCCTCGCCACGTCACAATTATCGGATCAAAGTGACGCCTTCGAAATGAGAGGAAAAAGCCAATTCTTGTTTTCCGGGGGTCCCGTATTTTCGCTTGCTCCCTTTTCGGAGCATTTCCATAATCCGCGAAAACCCGAAATGCGCACCAAAACAACGGGGGGTCATCTGAAGAGTTCGAAATGGGGGACAGCTGGAAAGTGCTAATAGGCCATTAGGAGATGGTATAAGTATACGTTATGAGTCAGAAGAAATAATTTATCAGCAACACCTGTAAAACTGGACAGATAGGAAGTGCTGTAATAAATGGTTATATTAAAAGTTCAAGATGGTTCAAATTAGGGTCATTTGGGGATACTAAAGGAGGGGTCATGTCTCATATGGGTGTCACTCGTGTAGGTAAACAATATATGATGAGCAGGGACACATCTGGGTCAACAAAGAGGTCGGGATTAAAAAATCAATAGAAATTGTAGACTACTTCAGAGATAAAAATATCGTCGAACTAGTGTTATCATAGACACTCTAATAGAATGACACTTTCTAAATTGAGCCAATTTATCTCGGTTCCTGTAACATATATCAAAAAGTAGTCGACTGACAAAATGTTTATTATAACATCAGTTTTACTAACAACAAATGATAAAATGACTAACAAAAAAATTTTACTAACAACAAATGATATAATGGAATGCACAAATTTTGAATAAAAAATGGAAGAAAACTGTTTCTCAGGGTTTTTGTTTTGGGAAAATTGGCTCCTGGGAATGAAAATAAAGGGTTTTTTGTTAGGAAGTTTATATCTGACTACCGTAATTTCTCGAATAGAATGGTTCAAATTTGACGATATGGGAGCATTCTATTAGAGTGGTTACGGTATGTTTAGTCAAGGTTAAAATCGGATCGCAAAACTGTTCTTATTGAAAAAAAAAAACATATTCTGAAGAACAAATTTATGATCCCACACAAGGAATAAAATGTATTCACACCCATTGTCTATTTGCTCTACTAATTGCTCACATAGGCGGTTCTTCCCAGAAGAGCTTTCCCTGAAGAACTTTCCCAGAAGTCAGGTTCTACCATACTGATGACTTTCATAGCTATGGTGTATATATGGAACATCACAAAACTTTGGAGAATGGTTTTCGAAAACCCTCATATTTTTCTAAACCCGGTTCCTCCTAATTACGCAACTCTCTAACCCCAAGTCAACCTCAATTAGTGACACCTATTACTAGAAATCCACCTGTTGTAATAATGTTATCTGATCGAAAAGTAACGATAAGAGAGGTGTTGACTGCTGGTGAAACCACAATTAAATTGGTGTCGAGAGCAGATGTATCCGGTAGAAGTGCACAAATTGGTTAACCATACACCTGCACTTGGATAGTGCCACGTGGCACCATATAGGGGTACTAGATTTGACACATATGACTCATTGTGTGGGTTTAGGGTATAGTTTACGGTACTCAGGGTGTCAAGTAGTGCATGTTGCGTAGACAGCAGAATTGAGCCGGATATAAAATACCTACATTTTTTGGAGGAGTTAAGTAGCAATTTCAAAATAACTTAACTTACCGTACACCTCGTCAGAGAACCCAATTTTTCGCACCGACATCCCCAGAAGAAAAAAAACGATAGAATAGAATCACTTGTGTAACGAATCAATTGTTGGAAAAAATGAATGACAGCAGATGGGCGGAAACCAGAGAACATGATTATCATCAATTGTGGCACACGGTAAGAGTTAATTGTATTAAGGATGAGGTTTCATTTTTCACAGTATTTTTTGTGGATTAAAAATGGAAAATTGGCAGAAGAGCGCAGAAAAGGAAATGAAAAGTTTTGAAATGTACGGAAGTTTCAGAATTTATTTTCAGAGCCGATTTTTAAATGACACTTTTTCAAATTTGTTTTCTATCTTACTGTAATTGCACTAATAGAAGCCCATCCTATACGTGCATTTTGAGCGCAATTATCATTTTCTTCAAGATATTTCAAAATTTGGTCAACTGATACAGTGTTTATCATAACATCAGAAACATTTTATGTAGATTATTTTTTGATATCGTCTAAAAGAACCGAGGTAATATCAAGTTTGTAAAATATCAAATTTGTAAAACTAGACGATTTCGGAAATTGAAACTTTCCTCCAATTTTAGAGCATTTTTAAAACTTCCCCATCCTAAAAAACCAAAAAATGTTTCAACAAGAAAATCATCTCTCTACCGTAATCCGACTCTATCGCAACTATGCACAATCCGTTGACAAAGAGCCCAAGCAGTGCTGCTGAAAAATTCAGCAGTCGAAATGTTTTGAATGAAAAGGCAAAAGTCCGAAGAGAAGAGGTAATCTGAGATCCATTGAGTGCACTTTGTCTGGGTCGTTTTCAGGAGGATCTTCTTCATTCTTCCCGAATATTCGTCATTGTTTCTTTTACGACAAACCCTTCGAAAAGAGAAAAAAGTCAAACGGAAATCATCATCCAATTAATTTGGACCATCCTCTTGTCTCCCTTGTGTCGCTTCATACAAGGATTCATATTTCAAACGAGCAGCTTCTCCAATTTACACCCACATATTCTTCTCTAACGCCTCCTATAATTAATCCCCCTTTCTAGGCTCTCTACAGGTGTCTACAGTACCACAATATTGTTGCCTTCTCCGACTCCGCCCCTTTGCCCCACGGGAACGTTTCCGAGATTATGAGTAACCTACTGCCCCCTCCTCCATCCTATTTCATGCCGGACCCTCACCTAATCGACACCTCTTCATATTTCGACTGCTATCAACAACAACAGCCACACCAGTATCCGATCCTCCCGGCTTCTGCCTCTTCAACAACATCAACACCTTCAACGTCTTCTATCCTTCTCTCATCTTCTCATTTTACATCTGGAGCATCGGTACCGCCCTACTCACCAACATCGTCTCATATTCTGACACCTCCTTCTGTAATTCCAACGCCTTCTCCATCGACGACGTCGATTGCAACGTTCGGTTTTCCAATGGCAGAATATAATTTGGATCAGGTTAGTTCTTTAAACATATTTTTAATTAATTTTTTTTTCAATTTTTTAGATGGAAGCCATCTGCACATCCCTATTTCAAGCAAGAGATGGTGAACGGTTGGTGGCATTTTTTAATCAGATGAAAGAAATGTATGGATCAAATGCGTTGGATCATTTTGGAAGCGAATCTATTGTTGTAGGTTAGTGTGGAATTTTCAGCAAGCCGATGAGTTCGTCTTTTTATCTAGTGATGCAATCTATGTATTCCTAGGAACAAGTGTTTGCAAAATCTTATGAAGTGACTGCATATCGTAAAAGCTTGATCTGTTATCATTTCTCAATCTATATTTTTGTGATTCTGTGTTTTTTTTCTTAAGATTACGACTCACCTGAATTTCTCTAATACCAACACTTGAATAAACGCCTACCCAACACCTTAACTTTGAGCTCAGATATCTCGGTTCTTGTAAAAAATATGGTCAACTAATAAAACGTTTATCATGACATCACCAATAGTTTATCAGTTGATAAATTTTTGATATTTCTTATAGGAACCGAAATAATTGAGTTCAAGGTTGACGGTTTGGGTGGGCTTCTATTATGGTATGTGCCCAGCCAGGACCAGTAAAAAATTTAGCATTTCCAAATGTTTTAGTGGAAAATAGCCAACTTTGGGAAACTCGAAAATATAGTCGATTTCATCAGATGAGTTTGAAAATTTTCGTATTTACTGACCAGGGAATGGTATGCATCGGGTATGGAGTTATGCCACATGACCTTTATTATTGGAAATCTGAGAAAAAGTCATTTACGAATAAGATTTTAGCAATTGTTATAGAGGCGGCTGCTCAAAAAAAAATTAGCTCTAAAGCTATAAATTTACTACTCTTTCCCTCAATTTCAATAGAAATTTAGAACGCTTGTATAGGCATTTTCTATTGTTTCGAATGGATTTATATATTTACTGTTCACGCGGCTCCAAACTTCTATTGTAATAGAGGAAAAGAGTAGTAAATTTAGAGCTTCAGAGCTAATTTTCTCGGAGCTGCCGCCTCTATAGCAAATTGTGAAACCATATTCGTAAATAACTTTTTTCTCAGCTTTCCAATGATATAGGTCATGTGTCACAACTCCATACCCGATTTACACCATTCCTTAGTAAGCAAAAATAGAGCTTTAATTTTGTGTTTTACAACTTTTTTGTGAAAACTCTTCCAAATGAGATATGCCTCTTTGAAAATATTAAGGCTTTGAACACATTTCTTTTTCAAAATATTTTGGCACATGAAGTTATATTTTTGTTTGGTAGAACTTAAAATTCACAGTCTTATTCCATAAAATCTACTTTATTTTTTTTTTTGGAACTTCAAACTTGACCATTTTCAACTGAAATCAATTATTTTGCAAGATATCTAAAATGTGTCAACTAAAAAATCTTTGCAGATATTATAATAAACAATTTATCAGTTGACAACTTTTTGAATCTTTGACAGGAACCGAGATTTATAGACTCAAAATTGACGATTCGGGTGGGCTTATATGAGAGGTAGTCGGTATACTTTTTAGATTTCCAAAGTCGATAATTTTCAATTTAAATAAGTTAAGTTTATGCAGGGTGGCTAATAAGTTTGTAGTTTTTTTTTTGCGCGAGTCCCTGGCACCGTGCCAAGTGCGATTTTTGACAACTTTCGATGGATTCCGAAAGCAGGAGACATATACAAGAGGTCTCCAGAACCAATTGTCATCACTTTTTGTTTATACTTTTTCTATGCAAGCTTATTCCCATAGTGCTAAAATTTTTAAGCGTTAACACTGAGAATACGATAATGTTGGACAGTCAGCGTCGGTCAGCTCAGGAAATCGCCAAGCAGTTTAAAACAGAAGAATGTGTCAATGAGCAACTAAAAAATAAAAAATTTCCTTTATTGAACATTTCTAGTATCTGTTGGATCCTCCAGAAAAGAACGATATGTAGGTGCGCCGCCTCTACGTCATATGGACCTATGAGAAGATTTTCACAACTTAGTAGCTTCCAAAAAGCCAGAAAAATTGGCAAATGATGTTAAAAGATAACTCGAGATTCCCTCACCGTTTTCGGCATATAAAGGATTTTTCCCAAAATCTGGTCTGAGCATGGTTGACAACTAAAGGTAGAGCTCCACTGATCTTCATTGACAAACACGTGAAGATCAACTCGGACACCTACCAAAATATGGTTTTGAAGGGTGTTCAATTTCCCTGAGTTGCTAGTCATGTTGGCCAGAAACAATTTACTATGAAACAATATTCGACACCGCCGCAAAGCTCCAAATTCACCAAAATCGGGGACCGAAGCTTGTTTTACGCGAGACTGGGAGAAGGAGTTCAACCGGATCTCAACCGGATCTCAACCCGCTGAATTTTCATTTTTGGGGTATATGGAAAGCAAGAGCATGGCTTGTTCTAGCCCAACTTTCAACTTGCTTAAGCGAACACATCTCACGTTATGGGATAAAACAGACGACAACTACCTGCGGCGCACGGTGACTTTTTCGTGGAGCGTCTGAAGGCCTGTATCAAAGCAGAAGCATTCAACTCCGATCATGTACTAAAATAATTATTCAATTGCTCCTATATTATCAGAAAATGAACTTAGTTCGAATGTCATAAGCCAATTTTTTTCCAGGGCACTCCAAAACGAAAAACCACATACTTATTAGCCACCCTGTATACTTTTCTATAAGATTATGGACTTTGGATTTTTTGAATTCCCTGTGGCCTATTGCGTCTTCAAATTTGTATTAGATTTCTCGTGCATTGACTCCCCCATTGAATGAGCCCATTTCTAAATTTCAATCACGCAACACCTCCCATGAATATCAACGCAAGATCATCACCCTCATACGATTGCGTCATTTCCTCCCCTCCTCAAATTCGATACAATTTATTGCGTTCTCCCTTTTTAGTACCCGCCCTTCCCCATTCTATAGTATCTCCAATTTCAGCCTACACCTACGCACTGTACCATTCGAATGACTTTGAACGACTCTTTCATCTTCTTTCAACTCGTCACTTCCATGCCACATTCTTTGCGGATCTTCAGGAAATTTGGCACTATGCCAGATACAAAGAGAGTCAATTGAAGAGAGGAAAAGAGTTGAATCCAGTAGAGAAATACAGATTGAGAAGAAAGTTTCCACCACCGAAGACTATTTGGGATGGTGAGGAGACAGTGTACAGTTTCAAGGATTCCAGTCGAAAATACCTGAAAAAGTTCTTCAATGATGTCAATCAGTATCCAAATCAAGAGCAGAAAAGGGAAATTTCCAGAGCCACCGGATTGAAAGTTGTTCAGGTATGCACTTTGAGAATCTCTCCACATATTCAAGTTTCAAAATTTCAGATCTCCAACTGGTTCAAAAATCGTCGTCAACGTGACAAAACCGACAACGGATCTCCTCCATCCAGCTCGGCGAGTTCCAACGGAGGCAATGAGTTTCCACCACTCGTCGATGCACAACGATTCAATCTGACTGCTGTACCATTCAATATGAATGTCAACATGTTTTTTGATAACTGATTTTCTAATCTTCTTCTGCAAATTTTTAAAGTTCTCCCTGTAGTTCTGTAATAACATCTTTCCTCTCTCTTGTGTTAATTTGATCTCTTTTTTGATAAATAAAGTATCTAATCCAAGAATTTATCAGACAAGCGATTTTTAAGATTTTTCATGTTATGAGCTATTTTCAGAATAAAATCTCTTTTTACTAGATTTTAAAGATTCAATAAAACCAGTCAAAAGTTAGAAAATTTTAATTATTTTCAGATGAGAATAAGTAGACAACGAAGGATGTCTGAAAATTATAGTATACTGTATCAAATATGTGTTTTATGAGTGCTTGGAAATTCTTAATTTAGACATTTAAGAATTTTGAATTAAAGGAATTTGGATGTTTCGAAACTTTGAGATTTAGAAGTTTCAAAAGATCCCAACTGTTCAATTTCAGAGTTTTGTAATTCCAGAGTTTTATATTTTTGAGATTTCGAAAATTTTCAGAAAGTCGGAAAGTCAGAATTTTTGGAAATTTATAGTTTTGGCATTTCGTTTATAATTATAGAATTTTCGAAATATTCTTTTAGAATATCAAAATTCTAGAATTTTGAAATTTGGAGATTTAGGAAATTCGAATTTTAATTGTTTTACTAATCCAGAAAATTATGTTAATATTCTTTTCGAAAAAATCATTAGATTCAACAAACAGATTCACTTAAATAACCCGATTAAAAAAAACCGAGAAGGATAAAGCTTTGTAACAAAAAAATAACAAAAATAAAGCGAGATCATAATCCAGTAGATGGTATCTCTATCCAGTGAGTGAAGTATTCAGAATCTCCTTGGCCTCTTTCTTGACAATTCGACATCGAATCCGACGTTCCAGCCATCTGAAACACCTCAAAATCGAGAGGACTTTTTAGAATCGTCCGTCCCCCAAAAATACACTCACTTTTCGAATCGAACTTTTCCAAAATATGCCAAGGTGTTGGTGGCAGAGTTTAGGATCACCAAAAAGTCAGATATACGAATCACGATTGTCATAAATGAACCAAAATGTCTGTCAGTTTCCATAAAGACCTCATAGAGATCGATCAGAGTGGGAAGGGTTCTGAAAAAGGGAAATCATTTGAAATGAACCTTCAAAATACCGTAAAACCTGCAATAGAAGGGGCCCATACTGTTAAGTTTGAGCTCAGTTATCTCAATTCCTGTGCCAGATATCAAAAATGTGTCAACGGAGAAACGTTTTATCATAATATCACAAACATTTCATCAGTTTACACATTTTTGATGTCTTGCATGGGAGCCAAGAGAAATAAACTCAAACTTGACAATGAGTGGGACCCTTCTATTACAGGTTTTACGCTCTGTAGTTTCTCACCTCAAAATCAAAAATTTGACCACAATGAACACAGCCAATGCTTTGGAAGCTTTGTCCTTCAATTCTTCGGTAACCAAAGTGTCTCTACTCCTCTTTTGACTCTCGAACAGCCGTCTTCTCTCCTTTACATTTATATGCATTTTATACTCTGTGAATACTGATAAAGTTGAGATGAAAATCATTGGACCCAATGTCTCAGTTGTCATAGTTAGAGCGAGTTTTAGCTGGACGTACTGGAAATTTAAAAATTAATTTGAAAAAAAAAACTAAAGGTTTACCCAGTCTGTGAGTCTTAACGGAGCAGCTTGGAGCATTTTGGTTTCGGTTCGATAGTATTCGTCGAAACAAGAGATTAGAAAGAATTCGAAATAGGAAGTTGCGTGTGTCACGAAGCAGATGATCACCAGAAGAACTGAAAATCAGGGAATATGGAAATTCCAGAACAATGTAGAAAAATATTTGCTCACTTGGAACTAGAAATGGTTTGAAGAATCTTCGAAAGTTTGCTCTCATTTTTCCAGCACTACTTCTCGAATGGAAATCATAAAACATCTCTGCAGGGAATGATATCGTAAACTTTGCAGATTCTGTTGATGGCTGCTGAACTGTGCTCATTTTTCCGGCAGATATTGATTTTCTCTGTAAGATTAAAAACTAGAAAATATCCTATTTTGTGTAATTGCTCACCGATCGACTATAATTCGATGCAAATTTAAGTGGATTATTGACAACTCGATATCGGATGTATGTGATGTAGCAAACAAGCATCGGCTGCAAAATGAAATAAGAATCATTATTTTCATTTCCGAGGCTCACCGAAGCCATTGCAAAACTGTTTCGGATTCCATAAAGTACTAGAATCATTCCTTGGTGCTTATAGAACACATTGGATCCCCAGAGAAGAATACTGAGAGGTTCAATGCTTAGAAAGAGTACTGTAGTCATCATAAGCATAAAATCCATGAGACATAACGTGTAGAGAGCTGCAGACATTCTTCTGTTGAGATGTCCATTTCGCAGAAATCCAATAGCGTAGACTGTGCCGATAGCAGAGAAAATTGCAGCGGAAATTGTTATTGGTCCCTGAATCCAGGTTTTTAGAATTTTTTTAAATCTAGAAATTTAGCGTCCCAGTACAATTGTACTCGAAGCATGCATTCTTCAAAAAGACGTCACATTTCTAGAAACATGGGATTAGATCATGTCAAAAGATTCCCTAAATTTGGAATAGTCTGGAAAACCAGAAGTTATTAGTCTACATCATAATCTGCTGGGTCCTAATAAGATTAGAGGCCAACAAAAATATCCAAAATATCCGGATGACAGATAAGAAAAGCAATTAGATGACGAATAAGCGTTAGAAAAACAAAAAACGCAATAGGTCCCACCGAGATTTGAACTCGGGTCGCAGGATTCAGAGTCCTGAGTGCTAACCACTACACCATGGAACCGCGGTGGACAGAGGACACCATTGCAATAGAAGAAGGAGACTCACATCAAGCCAAAGAGTAAACTCTGATTGTCCGGACGCTCGATATTCGCATTTGGGAGATGCATTAAGGACCATCCAATTGCCATCAGTTTCGTTCATTTTGGAGTGTGTCTTGAATCTCAAAAAAGCAAATAAATGTAGTTTGTGTTGGGAAGCCCTTTATAAACACTAAATCAAAAGGGTAGGAGGTAAGAAAGACACTAAAACGATCAGAAATTCATGTGCATAGAATAGGTTATTGAAAGATCGAAACACAGAGTTTTAAGTTCTAAAAGATAATGTGGCTTCTAGAAAAATGGCATTTTCGAGTACGTATAATGACAAGAAAAAGGGAGAATTGAAAGAACAATTTGCACGTTCTGAGAGGAGGGAAGATGAATAGGAAAAGCGGAGAGAGCTTTATGCATAGGAAATTAAGAGTATCGAAATGACGAATGAGGTGTGAAGAAACTGTTTCGGAGAAAATGAAAAACGGGAAAGACAGAAAGACATGTGTACTTGTTTGAAATTCAAAAAAAAACAAGGAAAAATAATGAAAAAAAGAAACAACAATGGGGAAAACGAGGGGTAAACATATTTAAAAGTCATTCTTCCAAGGGAATGGGGGATCAGTGGAACAGATTCAGAGAAACATGTAAATAAGGAAGTGTTGGGTCCAGGTAGGAACCATGTCCAGAACAAGTTTAAATGCGAGCATCACTTTTTAAAGCATAATTACCCGGACTAAAGTTTGTGCTACCATAAAATTTGTCTGAAGCGTTGCACTGAGCTCAATTTTGAAGTGCTAAATTTCAGATAATTCATCTGTAAACTGGCGAAGTTTCAAATTATTTGGTCAACTTTGAGCTGAGCTATCGCTAGTCAAAGTTTATCGATCTCATGAAAATCAGAAGAAACATTTTGCCGTTCATCTTTGGACAATCATTGATTTGAGGAATCGCATTGAAAATTTCAGTAGCTTTGAATCAGGTTTAAAATTATGTTTCTACCAATTTTCGTGCTTCCAAGATACTTATTTCTAAAGATATATGTCTAAAGATATACCTGTTTTTATCAGTCTGAGTAATTTTGCGCCACCCTACAAATCCTTGGGTACGGAAAGCAATATTGCTAGCCTGTAGACCACCAAAACTGAAAAAATTTCTTTGAATGAATTTAACACCCAACGGGAAGCAAAATGGAACGTGTTCAAATCCGTTCTGACTTGCTAAAGAGGATTCCGAACTTTGAAAAATCATAGGCTAATCAGGATTCTGTGTCATAAACCACAACTTGAGTTGGTTCTGTGGCAATGAAATTTGCAGAAAAAAGCTTATTGACAAAGATTAAGGCTTATTGACAAAGATAAAGGAGGTGTTCCGATTTTTTGAAAAAAGTGATTTCAGAAAAACACAACCAAACAAAAATCGGTTCCAGAGATCTCGAGGTGATGAACAACAAGCAAAATTTCTAGGCCATGAGCAATTAGAACGGGAGTAGAACAATTTAAAAAATACTCGGATATAAGATTTTCAAAAGTTTTTCAATTCAGCTCTCCTGATTTGCAGATGGAGAGACCAAGCGAACAGGAGGAACATTTCAAAAAATATGGAAAACACCGGAAACCAAAGATCCAAGAAAATATAAACAAGGTATATTTTTCCTCATATGCAACTTTCTTTTGCAGAAAAAAACTCTGGAATATCTATAAGAAACTCAATACTTCATGGAAAATTGACAAATGAGAGAATTCCAGGAAAAATTAGAAAATTAAAAAGGAAATAGTTCAGCATCAGAGAGCAGCTGAAGTAGCAGGAATATATGGACTTGTGACATAAGAAAAAATGTTGTGCAGATAATTACTATTTACAAGATCGTTTGGTTTATAAAAAGTTAGCTTTCAAAGTGTTAGGAAAAGGGGTTACAGTAATTTTGAATTGCTTTTTAGAATATGGCTACTTTCTACGACTGCAAAGAAAATCATAATTTTTCCGATTTGTCCGAAAATTTTTTTGGTATTTGAAACAAAATTAAATTTACGGAAGAGTGATATACTTCGAAATAGAAGGCAGGGAACATGAAAAAATTTATTTTCTCGAAATTCCTCATGTAAACCTTTCGAGGAGTTGAACTTGTGGGACGAATATTGAAGGTGCGGCGCCGCTACCGACTGAGCCACATCGGCGAAGCTAGAGCGGGCACGAACACTAACAGCATTGTACACCGTCACGTCAGAATAACACAAAAAAAACACTTTTCAAAAAATCTCCTGTCTTCGCTCCTTTAATAATCAGTTACTGCAGAGCCTCTGTTATCAAGAATATGTTCGTTCTTTTTGTTTTCCTACAATGAACACATTAATTTATATATTTACTGAAATTTTCAGTCTAATCGAAAAAAAATTAGGACTATTTTTTGCAGAGACTTATGAGGGCAACCGTAATTTGAAACCCTACTTTTTTCGAATTTCAATTTGCGTAGTAATTTTTGAACTACTAGGTTTGTTTGTTAAGATCATACCTCTAGATTCCCTATTTCTTTTTTCGTCTTCTAGATTCTAATCGATCTTTATTTTTAGACCACCCTCCGCAAAAAAAAACATAACAACTTTTAGAATCAATTTTTGATCCAAGAAGTCCTAAAAGCTGGTCCAATCTGGTCAAGTTCGAACTGGAAACTTGGGAAGCCCTAAAAATGATGAATCAAAAAAACTGGAACGCAAGTTTTAATGATACAACTTAAGAATAAAACGGGACATCTTCCCAAAAAATGATATGTATTCGTTCTCCTTTTCTTCAACACCCCTCCTAATCCCCTTGAGAGACACATAGGCAAAAAATTGGTCACATTTTCAGTTTCCAGACGTTTTGGAACAAGGAAGAACTAGTAGAAGACGAAGACGGGAGAAAAGAAACGTCGTCTATTTTAATTCTCTTTTCTCCGTTGCTCAATGGGATCGAAAAGTTTTTGGCAGGAAACGAAATGTGCCATTCATTTCGGGTTGATTGTTGTTCGTAGAGGAACATCAGAATACAACGTCTTTAATTTAATTTGTTTATTGATCAGGTGTAATAAAACATTAGAGGGCAGGACATGAAAGACTCAGAAAAAATGCCCCTCACGAGGCCGATCTGAGTAGGGGAGGGGAAACGGGATAATTTAGATATTTGACACAGTAAAGATGTAACCGGTAGAAAAGGAAAAATAGGGAGCAAATATATCAATAACGAGTAATACTGGAAGAAATTAAGGATTCAAACTCGGAAGGTAGGAGAAATCGGGTAATTTGGGAAGTGATGGCGTTCCACAGGGGAACAATTGAAGAAAAATAGTCAGAGGAGTAGGGCTGAACAATAATTAAGTTCATAGGGCGACGAGGGAAAGAGGAGTATTTGACATGTGCATTTAGGTTAGGAAAGTAGGCGGAGCCATTTAAAAATTTATAGAGAAGAATTAGTTGAGCTTTTAGCCTACGATGTCGAATGGAGAACATATTGAGGATAGAGAGACAATCAGAATAGGAACTGTACTGGATATTACAACGCTGGAAAATACACTTAGAGAAAAATCTTAAGGGAGATTCTAGTTTTAGAGCAAGGCGAGAAGAAGGCGGAGGGGAATAAACTACAGAACAATATTCAAGTCTTCTCAAATGTAAACACATCGAAATTAGTCTAGTTTCGAACAAATTGAAAAAAATAGGAGGAGGGAACGAAGAAAAAAAACAACATATATAAAGTTTGGCCGGCCACACCTACGTGCTATTTTTAAATGCATATCCAGAGATGATTAGGTTTCTCGGGGTGAGGGTCCGGCCAGACTACAATTTATATGTACAGACTACTAACAAAGTGAGGTAACATCGTAAGGAACATATTGCTGGTACTTCCGATGATTATGAATTGCAGAGACAGAAAAAAAAATCTACGGAGAAGAAGAAGAAGGAAGTAGTAAAGGAAATTGATGGTCTCTGTCATGGGAGGTCATATTTTTAAAGAAGAAAAAGTTCCTATCAGATTCAGATGAATGTCAGAAAAAAAGAAGGAAATCGAGTTACCTAATAATCGAAAATCGTGCTTTGATTGAGACCAAAAAATAAAATGAAATAGTGAGTATTTCAGTTCGAAGGGCAAACTAAACATACGGATATTTTTAAATCCAAAATTGAGAAAAAACGGGATTTTGTAAAATTCTAACAGGTCCGAAGGGTTCTAGTTTTCAGACTTTGTCTACTAAGAGGGCTCTCAAAAACAATGACACACCAATGAGCATCTATCTTAATATCGTCACTGTTTTCATATAGGTCATCCAACCGAGCCAACCGTAGATCAGAACTTATTGTTTTGCTCTACCAGTTTTTTTGGTATAAAGGGATACTTTGGGTCAAAGTGTGACGATGAGTCAAAATTTTTTCTCAATTTTCTAAAAATGGGAATTTTGAGGAGCTCTAAAATGGTTGAAAATATTTAGAATTTCCGTATTTTTTCAAACAAAAATCCAACAAACCGTCAACTTTGAGCTAAATTATCTCAGTTCCTGGGAAAAATATCAGCAATTTTTCAAAAAAAGCAATGTTTATCATAATATCACCAATATTTTATCAGTTGACAGATTTTTGATATCTCTTATAGGAACCGAGATAATTGAGACTAAAGTTGAAGGTTTCCTCACCCTATACATACACTATGAGCTCAATTATCTCGATTCCTGTGAAAGATATCGAAAAAGTGTCAGATTTTTCAACGCACAACAACAGGAATAAAATTTTTGTAGGCATATTCCACAAGTTCTACTGTAGAGATATACTGAGTGAAAACAAGACTGTCGAAACGGACGGCCGGAAAAGGCCGCGGTGGCGGCTAAAAAGAGGAAAGTATCTGGCTCATATCAAAAGACTAGCTTGATTGAAAGTTTCGAAAATTTTTACATGTTCTTTAGTTTTTTTTTGAATTTTTCGCCTATCCTCGATAATTTATGGGTAAAAAAAGAATATCAAAATGTAATAGCAAACTTTTGACCAAAACATTTCTCAAAAACATATGACTGTAATTACAGCTGTCTAAAAAGTCGGTTTCTGTTCAAGAGTTCGCCATTTGCCTTGATTGTTTTTTCCCTTGAGT